AAGAGAAAGGAAAAGTAAGAAACCAAGCCGTCAAGTCTAGGGCCCGAACTATGGTGGGTCCCACCTGGGAGTCCAGTACTTTTACAACCACGCCACCTGCTGGCTCTGAAAGAACACCTAATTCAAGAAAAAGTGCTGGAGAAGTTGTGGAGCAAGGACAACAGTTGTGCTCTAGTGATGGAAGTGCCAATTAGCAATACCATTATGAAAACAGTACGGCAGCTCCTCGAAAAACTAAAAATAAAACTAACTTATGATATAGTAATCCCACTACTGCTTAAATACCCAAAGAAAAGAGTATTTTTAAAAGAGGTGTTTGCTCTTGCATGCTTACTGCAGCACTACTCACTACAGTCAAGACTGAGTCAACCTAAGTGACCAAGAACTAGCAAACAGATAGAGGAAGTGCAGCATATATACACAGTGGAATACTATTCAGCCACTAAAAAAGAATGATATCCTATCATTCATGGTGATATCAGCAAATCTGGAGGAGTAGACTAAGTAAAATAAGGCAAGCACTGAGACACACACCATATATTCTCACTTAATAGAGGAACCTACAAGACGTGATTGCACAGAAGTGGAGAGTAAAACGGTGGATACCAGAAGCTGGACGTGGAGGGAGTGGATAGGTGGGGCAGATAGAAAGAACTTTGTTAACAGATATCAGAGAGAAAACAGATCAGGGGAATGAGTTAGAGAATACGGTAGAACAATAGAGTAGAGCTGGTGACAATTCGATGCATTTTTGAAAGTAGCTTAGAAAAGAGGATTTCTAAAATTCACAACACCAAGTAATGATAAATGGGACATTATAAATATGTTTAGTTCCCTGACTTGATCACTACACATTTCATACATGTATTGAAAAATCACACATACCCTATTAACATGTACAATTATATGTCGATTAAAATTATGATGATAATACATTTTATTTCCAACAATTTGTGAAGTGCCCATAGTACACGCTTCATGTATGATGCTAGGTTCCAAGGGTAAAAAGATGGCTACAATAGAATAATTTTAGATGTTTTTGCCAAAGGATGTGTGCACTCACTGGAGAAAGAGAGACAGAGAAAGAAAGTGAGAAATCACCCCCAGGGGGATGGCCATGCCACAGTCCCTTCTCTTCTATTCTCCTCCATTCTCTTCCTGGGATCTTGGGCATGCATGCACACACACTCAAGTGTGGTTTTCCTTCCTTTCTTTCTTTCTTTTTTTTTTTTTTTTTGAGAGAATTTTGCTATAAGGCATGCCCAGAGAGACAGAAAGCAAGAAATCACCCCCTAGGAGGGATAGCCATGCTGTAATCCCTTCTCCTCCATTCTCCTGGTGTGATTTGCAAGTCACCCAGTCTGGGACTCTAACCACAGTCATTCATGTGGGAGTCCAGCAATTTTACCACTATGCTGGAGTGTTTTTTAAGCTGCCAAGTCCTGGAACAACATAGTCAGCTACACGGGATCCAGTCACCTTAAGCATGCCACCTGACTCGGCTCCTAAAGTAGTCTTTTTTCCTTCCCTTGCCCCTTGTTACTCTAGCTACTGCAGTGAGTAGCTAGAGTAATCCTGTTTTAAAAAATGGAATCAGCAGATTGCATAATGGTTATGTCACTTAACTCCTGCTTAGTCTACCACGGTTTCAGTCCTGGGCCAAGCAGCCTAAAACTCACATCAGGTGCATGTGTGTGAGTGCCTAAATGTTCGAGAGGGGAATGGAGAAGGGATTGTGGTGTGGCCAAGCTCCCTGGGGGTGATTTCTCATTTCTGTCTCTTTGTCTCTCTCTCTTCAGTGAGCACATGCACCCTATAGCAAAAATCTCTCTCCAAAAAAAGTTAGAGCATGGGGCCAGCAGGTAGCATAGTGTGGTTAAGGCACTAGATTTCCACATGGCCACTCGCGATTCGAGTCTTGGACCTGGAGGCCTGAAAATCATGCTAGGTGTGGTGGTGCCTGCCCTATGGAAAATCATGCCAGGTGGGGCTGGCAGGTGGTGAAGTGGTTGAGATGCTGGACTCCCACATGGCCGACTGCAGTTTGAGTCCTGGACCTGGTGGCTTGCTTTCTCACTTTTCCTTTCTCTCTGGTCAAATTAAAAAAAAAAAAAAAAAAAAAGATTGTCATAAATAAGATTAAATCATTCTTTTAATAAAAAAAAAAGACAATCATGCTAGGTGCATGTGTGCATACCCAAAATCCCAAGAGGAGAATAGAGGGGAAGGGGTTGCAAATGGTTGTCCCCCTGGATGACTTCTCACTTTTCCTCTCTCTGGCAAGCACAGCGCCTTATGGCAAAACTGAAGGAAAAAAAGAAAAAAAGAACAAGAAAAGAAAAGAAAAGAAGTTAGATTATGTCAGGCTGGATTCCACATAGTCAATTCTGATTTGAGTCCTGGATCTGGCAGCATGACAAACATCCTGGTACATGTGGATATGAGAAATCCTGACAGGAGAATGGACTACAGCATGGTCATTCTCCCACCCTGAGAGTGACTTCTTACTTTCTCTGTCTCTCTCTGATGCGCACATGCACACTATGTAAAAATTAGAGCATGTCCCTCCTCTGCTTAAAACCCTCCATGGCTTGGGACCAGCAGTTAGCGTAAGGGCTATGTCTCTGGACTCCCATGTAGTCGACCGTGGTTCGAGTCCCAGACCCGGTGGCTTAAAACTCATGCCGGACTGTGTGCGTCATGCCCAAGATCCCCAGAGGAGAACGGAGGAGAAGGGATTGCGGTGTGGCCATCCCCCTGGGGGGTGATTTCTCGCTTTCTGTCTCTCTGTCTCTCTCTGTCTTTCTGGCAAGCACACGCGCCCTATAGCAAAAACCTCTCCAAAAAATAAATAAATATAAAAAAAGAAAGAAAACATTAAGAAAAAGTAAACAACTCTCCATGGCTTTCAATTCACTCAAAGTAAAAGCCAAAGTCCTAAAAGTGATCTACAAGACTTTATGGATTTAGCCTGGTTATCTATCTGACTTAATCTCTTATTACTTCCTTCTTTGCTCACTCCATTTCAGTCACAGTGGGCTGTTTACTACTCCTAGAATATAGACAGTGAACTTCCACCTCATGGCTTTTGTATGAGCTGTTCTCTTGACCTGGAATTTTCTTTTCTTACATATCTACATGGTTCATTTCTTTACTTCCTTCATGACTTTACTCTGATGTCACCCTTTCAGTGAGACCTTCATTGGCCACTCTTTCTGGATTTCACCTTTCTATCTCCTTTTTCATGCTTTATTTTTCTCGTTAGCCCTTATTATCGTTATCTATTAGTTACCTTCATCTAAAATGTAAGCTCTGTGAGAGCAGGGATTTTGGAGGATTTACTTTATATACTGATGTATCTACAGTGTCTAGTATACTGCAGGTACTCAATAAATATTTGCTGAATGAATGAATGAAAAGTTTATTTGTTGGGAACCAGCAGTTAGCGTAATGGCTATGTCGCTGGACTCTCATGTAGTCGACCGCGGTTCATGTCCCGGACCCGATGGCTTAAAACTCAGGCTGGGTGCGTGTGCATGTGTGCCCAAGATCCCGAGAGGAGAATGGAGAAGGGATTGCAGCGTGACCATCTCCCCTGGGGGGTGATTTCTCGCTTTCTGTCTCTCTGTTTCTCTCTGTCTGTCTGGCGAGCGCATGCACCCTATAGCGAAAAACCTCTCCAAAAAAAAAAAAAAGTTTATTTGTTCAAGGAGTTAACTAATACACTATACGTGTATATTTCTTACCTCTTTTCTATTTTCCAAGCCCACATTCCCTTCCTTGACATTGCTTCTGAAAATTCTGCCATCATTTAAATCTTGGTTTGACTAGCTGAATTCATTACTATTTCCTTTAGTGCTTCACTAAACCTTAGGTCTTTTTTTTTTTAATAATTATTTATTTTATTTATTCATTTACTTTTTAGTTTGATGACCAGACACACACACACACACACACACACACACACACACACAGAAGGAAAGTGAGAAAAGCAGGCCACCAGATTCAGGACTCGAACTCTGGTCGGCCATGTGGGAGTGTCCAGTGCCTTAACCACCATGCCACCTGCTGGTCCCCAGGTCTTTCTTGTTTCTATTATTAAGACACTCTCAAAACTTGGCTTCCTCTTATTTACCATTTCTTCTCAATACCAGGTTTCTTTTTCTTTTTTTAAAAAATTACTTTATTTAGCTTTATTTATTTATTTATTTTATTTGACCAGATGGGGACAGAGCAAGAGAGAGGAAAGTGAGAAAGCAAGCGACCAGATCCGGGACTCAAACATGGTCAGCCATGTGGGAGTCCAGCACCCCTAGCCACCATGTCATCTGCCAGCTCCAATACTAGGTTTCTAAATTTGTTGAGTCTGTCTCTTAAATCTTGCTCTAGTTATTTCCCTAGTCTACATCACTCGCTGGTTTTATTCTAGTTCACTGGTTCTATTTAGTTTTCCCAATGTAAAAGTCCATATTGTAGTATCCAATCTATTTTATTTACTGCTACCATTTTAATTCTCATGATGAAGAGCTTTAATTTGTTCATTGATCTTTCCACAAAATTGTGGGTGTCCAGTTTACCTGTTGAACCACGTGGGCAAGTGGTAGAGAATTGACAACTTCAACTCCTTTTCTGGAATGCCACCCATCTCATTGTGAGTTAAAACTACTTAACCCTTCAAAGTACAAATAGTATATTTTCTGCTAGTCAAATTTTAGAGAGAAAACAGGGCAGGGTAAGTAGATATGGGAGCTCACACATGCTTTACATACCCAGAAAGTGTAGTGATATACATCCCTTAGCCAGAGAAATTTTTACCAAAGCAATAGATGCACCTGATGTAACATCCTGACTCTTTGACTTGTTCATGCTTCTATTTCTCCCTCTATCAGTAATTTCTAGGAACAAAGATCCATATTATTCAGTTATGAATCCTCCCTGCACCTAATTCCAGCAGATATCCAATCAGCACTCAAGGCAGTGAAGGGCTGGGATTGGATTACCTTGTTTAAATCCGATGAACGTCAGAATTGGAGGGAGATTTAGAGGTCACTTTTCAGCCTATTCATTTGTAAATAGGAAAAGTTAGTCTCAGAAAGGTAATACATTGTACCAGGTCGCTGACCCGGGAACAAAAGCTAAATGTCTTAATTATCAAGTAATTAATTAATTAAATCTTTGTGCGTTCCTTCGCGATTCCAGGCGCTTGGCTTCGCTGCCTTATGTCGCCTGTCCAGCTACAAATCTTACCCGTTCAGTGACCCTCTCCTTCCCTGTTGCCCCTTGGGCCAGCAGGGTTCACCCATTCCAATCGCAATGCTCTAGGTTGCAGGAGTTGTACAACGCTAGAAGTAAGACTAGTTACGTCATCGTCAACTCCTCCCATTGGCCCGGGCGGGTGGAGCGCGGCGCCATGACGTCAGACGCCCAGAAGGGCGGAGCAGTGAGGGGAAGGAGGAGGGAAGTAGGATCTCAACATGGCGGCTGCGGTATTGGCAGAGGCTACGGCGACGGCTTGGCCCTGGGCGGACAGAGTTGGAGGTGGTGGCGTTCGCTCTCCTTAGGGGCCGTTGGGAGCTCAGCGGGGACCGAGCCTGGGAGGCCGGCCGGCGCCAGCACCTTTCGGCTTCTGGGACGGCGGCGGCACCCCTTATATAAGGGCCCCAAAAAAATGGGGGGCCGGCCGGCGCCAGCACCTTTCGGCTTCTGGGACGGCGGCGGCAGCGGCTTTCAGGTGAGGGGGGCCTCCCTCTGGGGGAGGGGGGAAGAGGGGCGGAGTTGGGGGAAGGGGCTGGTACCCGGAGATCGAGAGGGAACCCAGGCTAGGGGCTAGTGGCCCGGAGACTTGAAAGGAGTCGCGACTGTGAGAGTGGATTGGAGTAGGGGCCGGAGATCAGTGACTTCGGGAGGATTCTGGGAGAAGAGTCGAAGTGAGGGGGACCAGAGTTGAAGGGGCGGAGGGCAGATGGGATGCGGAAAAATGAGTTCGGATTAAAGGACTAATACCCTACTGGAAGGTAGGCTCAGTAGACACCTATATGGCAGGAATAAGAACTCCGTGGGAGATAGAGGATGGTAGGGGAGGAGTACCCAGGTTTTAATAGAGAAGGTACGAGTATAGGGGAGTTGAGTGAACTGGAGACGTGAAGTGTACATTTCTAATAGTTCTACCTGAGGCGATGAGATTAGAAAGAAAGGAAGATCAGACCAGGTCTTTGGAGATATCTTTGGCGTTGTCTGGTCTTCTTCAGATACGTTTATCTTGCCTTTTATTTATTTATTATTATTATTATTATTATTATTATTATTATTATTATTATTTAATGTAGAGACCTACATATACAGTCCACCTGGGCCTGAGAAACAGCCCCAAATATTTCTGTGGAACATTGTTATGTATTTGATTTACACCAGTAATCTCTGACCTTTGTGGTGTTGCCACGTGTAATTTCCAGGCTACTGTCTTAAAAGTATTGCTGGGCATAAAAATACATTTTATATTAAACTGAAAGAACATTTTTAGACACCATGGAGTGCTGCAAAACCAGATAGCTAACTATTAGCTCTATTCTGTTCTCACCCAACTTGTGTCTATTTCCTCAGTTTTCATTATCAGTATTTGAGAGTTTGGGTAAATGATGATGGATGGTTTTCTTTTCAAATTTTGTCAGATTCGATGTTGGGAAAACAAGATACTTAGTCCTTTATTGATGGTAGCTCTTTCTAGTTAATGTCCCAACCTAGTTAAACTGAAAGTTTTTGTAGTATCTTATGAGAATGTGAAATGTCCAAAGTCTAAAAGAATTACATGTCTGCCTTCCTTATTTCAAGTTTTATTTTATAAATTAAAAATTTGTTTCTAGTCCATCCTATTTATCAGTTTTGTCGTTGTTGAATCCCTACCATGTGTTGCATTAATAAAAGTCATAATTTTAGAAATGGGAAAATTAATATTTCTCTAGTGAGCATCGCTATCACCACACAACAGATAACTTATTAACCTACTTTGGCCTCTTTGGGAGGAAGAAGAATTATTTTAGAAATGAAGGCAAAGAAGAAAAATGAAAGTGTGAATATAAACACTTCCTGAATTTCTCTTTTGTTAAGTATTGACTCATTACCTCATCATGACATATTTTATGTGTACTGAAAGATTTTATTTTTCATTTTCATTTGGAAGAAGACAGTAAAAGTATCCTGATAAGATAGTTTTGGGTCTGTAGATGAGTCTAATCAATCAATGGTCGTTAGTGTGTATTTTTTTGACTGGCAGATGTTACTTTATCTTATGTGTCTTTTACCCTCTTGAGTATGATATTGAAAGTAAAGATTCTGGAAGTTTTAATTCATGACTATAATTTTTAAACAATATTTTATAAATTATTGATGTTTTACAATTAGCCTCAAGCGTAGATGCCAGTGTTATAAATTTTTTGTTTTCTAATTATATTATTGAATGTGTTGAGATTTTCCAAATGTAGAAAATGTAAAAGGAGGCATGCAGTACTTTAAACATTTTAGTTTTTTCTTAGAATCAAAGGCACTTTGAATTGAAAAGTTTAAACCTTGCCTGGATTTAGTTTCCCAGACAGTATGGGAATAAAAAGAATGACAAATGAAAACCCATCCTCTTTTGGGAACAATAGAGTTTTCAGAATTTCTTATAGGAAAAGGCCTTTCAGTTAGAAAAAAAAAAAAGCAAGCAAAGTGCTGGTTTTCCAACTTGTAGTGTAGTTTTCTGCAGTATTGGAAAACAGTTGGAAGGAAGGAATATTTTCCTGAGTTGAGATTTATAATTTCAGCCTTTAAAACTTTAACACTTGATTATATGAGGCAGAATTGTTAAATACTTTATATAATCTTACTTAATCCTTATAGCTTGATTTAGTAGGTAGGTAGGCTGTGATGCATTGAGGAAATAAGGATTGGAGAGATGATGAGTGGTTAACTGTAGAATGAGGGTGTGACTTTGAACTCAGATTTGTCCAACCTCATTGTCCATGCTGCATCTAATATACCATTTTGCTCTTATTAGATGGTCACAGTGCCATTCTAATTCCTATAAAGTTAAGAACTAGTTTTAAAATAATGCCATTTTCAACTTGTTCTCATTGAAATAGTGTAACTGGAGTGATAGTTCATTAAAAGTTTAGTCATTTAAGATGTCATCAGTAACCTAAGAGGAAACTGTAGAATAATACCTGAATATTTTATACTTCACAGAGTGAATAGGATAAACTGGATAAGGGAGAGCAAGTTTTCTTTTTTGTATTGCTGAGTGAAATTTGGCTTCTTTTTGTGTTGCGGAGTCATATTGGGCCTGTTCATTAAGGGCCAAAATTTGTACTTGGCAGTAATTGTCATGTGTTTTCAGAACATTGGATTGGTCATTTTCAGTTGATTAATGCTTACCAAACACTCTCATGTTTGAGTCACTGAATTAGCTCATGGCAATTGTAAATCTTCTGGTTACTGAGTGAGGAGTCAGTGGTGTGTGTTTTGGTTGCTTCACTTCCTCTCCAGCACTTGATAGAGTCAGACTTACTTATTTTTTTTCCTAATCTGGTGGATTTGAAATAATATCTTTTGTGTTTTTATTAGTGTTTCTGGAAGCTAAGTATCTTTTAATATATTAATTGGCCATTTGTGCTTCTGTGAAGCACATATTTAAGTTCTTCACCTAATTTTATTTTGGGTTGTTTCTCTTTTTCTGATTGATTATTATTATTTTTTTTTTGAGAGGTTTTTCATTATAGGGCGTGTGCGCTCACCAGACAGAGAGAGAGAGACAGAGAGACAGAAAGCGAGAAGTCACCCCCCCAGCGGGGATGGCCACGCCACAATCTCTTCTCCTCCATTCTCCTCTCGGGATCTTGGGCATGTGCGCACACGCGCCCGGTGTGAGTTTTAAGCCACCCGGTCCGGGACGTGAACCGCGGTCTACTACATGGGAGTCCAGTGACATAGCCATTACGTTAACTGCTGGTCCCTTTCTGATTGATTTTTAAGAGTTCTTTATATCAATATATTCTGGATACTGATTATTTGTTAACTTTTTGTATCGTATATAGGAAACCCTTCTTTACTGCCATGCATGCTATTTTAATACCTATAGTAGTATTTATCAGCTCTAATGTGTTATCTAATCTGACATTTAGTTTCAATATCTGCTTGATGAGAAAGGCAAACTTCTCAGATTTGCTTTCCTGTTACCTTTTGAGTTATAGGGCCAGAGGATTTTAAATATAGCTTGAATGTACTTTACATATATTTTGCAAAACTGAGACACTGGCAAATTTACTGAATGTTAATACTGCTATTTGACAACTAGAGACCTTCCTTGTATAGACAATATTAGATACAGTGGATCGCTGTTTAAGCTATTAGTACTTTTTAAAAAGTAATTATTTATTTTATTTATTTATTCATTTATAATTATTATTATTATTTTAGTTTGACCAGAGAGAGACAGAGGGTGAGACTGAGAGAGAGAGGAAGTGAGAAAGCAAGCCTCCAGATTCAGGACTCGAACCCTGGTCGGCCACCTGCTGGTCCCCATAAGCTATTAGTACTTTTACTAAAATATATTCCTAAAGTTTGATTGATTATTATTATTTTTTTTTTGAGAGGTTTTTCATTATAGGGCGTGTGCGCTCACCAGACAGAGAGAGAGAGACAGAGAGACAGAAAGCGAGAAGTCACCCCCCCAGCGGGGATGGCCACGCCACAATCTCTTCTCCTCCATTCTCCTCTCGGGATCTTGGGCATGTGCGCACACGCGCCCGGTGTGAGTTTTAAGCCACCCGGTCCGGGACGTGAACCGCGGTCTACTACATGGGAGTCCAGTGACATAGCCATTACGTTAACTGCTGGTCCCTTTCTGATTGATTTTTAAGAGTTCTTTATATCAATATATTCTGGATACTGATTATTTGTTAACTTTTTGTATCGTATATAGGAAACCCTTCTTTACTGCCATGCATGCTATTTTAATACCTATAGTAGTATTTATCAGCTCTAATGTGTTATCTAATCTGACATTTAGTTTCAATATCTGCTTGATGAGAAAGGCAAACTTCTCAGATTTGCTTTCCTGTTACCTTTTGAGTTATAGGGCCAGAGGATTTTAAATATAGCTTGAATGTACTTTACATATATTTTGCAAAACTGAGACACTGGCAAATTTACTGAATGTTAATACTGCTATTTGACAACTAGAGACCTTCCTTGTATAGACAATATTAGATACAGTGGATCGCTGTTTAAGCTATTAGTACTTTTTAAAAAGTAATTATTTATTTTATTTATTTATTCATTTATAATTATTATTATTATTTTAGTTTGACCAGAGAGAGACAGAGGGTGAGACTGAGAGAGAGAGGAAGTGAGAAAGCAAGCCTCCAGATTCAGGACTCGAACCCTGGTCGGCCACCTGCTGGTCCCCATAAGCTATTAGTACTTTTACTAAAATATATTCATAAAGTTTTTTATCTTTGTTAATAATAGAGCATGTGCATGTACATGAGACTGTATAATGAGAGTGAGTGAGCGATATGAGCATTCTCCACAGGGTCTGATCACAGTGTCATCCCTTTCCTCCAGTCCATCACGTCTTGATCACTGACATTGGTGCTGGTTGTGTTTCATTCCTACTGGGCTAGTAATATGAGCTGTGCTTGCTGGGTATGGGATCAGGCTTCTCCTGAGCAGCGCTTTACCTCTGTGTCATGGAGTAACCTTCCATGAATTTTTTGAAGTCCCCTAATTTCTAAATCAGTCTTGGCAGCATTTGAATTTTCCTTGTGTATTAAAGCCACTTAAAAATCTGTCTTTTTCCTGGTAAGACTAGTAACTACCTTGAATTCACAGATTGACCTTCTAAGGAGTTGACTATTTGATCTTGGCAATGATCACATTAAAATATGAAACATTCTGGGACCAGCAGGTGGTGCAGTGGTTACAGTGATGGACTCCCTTATGGTCCACTGCAGTTTGAGTTCCAGGCATGTGTGCGCCCAAATCCCAGGAGGAGAATGGAGAAGGGATTGCATTGTGGCCATCCCCCCACCTCAGGGGTGATTTCTTTCTCCTCTCTGATGAGTGCATGTGCCCTATGGCAAAAAAAAAATTTTTTTTTTGGAGAGGTTTTTGCTATAGGGTGCATGCGCTGGCCAGAAAGACAGAGAGAAATGAAGAGATAAAAAGCGAGAAATCACCCCCCAGAGGGGATGACCATGCCGCAATCCCTTCT